GTGTGTCACATGAGAAGCACATGAATAACTAGAAAATTAGAATTATGCTCAGGGCACTTTCATACACTATCGCCACAATATGTTTACTATTTATGAAGTGATAGTTTTGCTGTAAAACCAATGAATTGAATGTTTTGTTGCAGAGATTCTGTGTTTGCAATGCTTTTCAATGGTTTCCATTGACAGTCATATGACAGTTAATTGAGTGATAGTTTGCCATCGATTATGACATTAACACCAATATATCTCGTCTTAAATGAGTTCCCAAACACTGATAATGAATATGTGTTACAAACGATAAGTTTATCAAATGTGACAAATATTTTGGTTAAAGTTGTATAAACTTTGTTCAACTTTAAAGTAGTGCTGAACTGGAAGTGAAGTGCTTTTCATTTGACACTTCCCTTGTAATGGCAAACACTTCGCTTTCATAGTTTAGGCATTCATTTATCAAATGAGCTCTCATTTAATGAAATTAAATCTTATATTACATTCAATTCCTATACAAACAATAATCACATGTATCCCATATACTGTTCCCATTTTAATATCACAACTTTCATTTATATGCATTGCATTATACGTAGAAACTATTCTAAGTTATTAGCAAGGTCATATTTTTCTTTAATATTAAACTAATTTTAACTATGAGAACTAATTTTGAGCAAAAAATTTTGAGCATAATTATGATAAATTAAACTATTTCAATATGTACTCATTTTTATACTGCACAGTATTACAGATTCTGTAATACAGAATATATTGTAACTAAAAAAATTTCAAATATTCTCTCTCTCTCTCTCTCTCTCTCATTCACTCAAATCTATAAATAAATAGTCAACTTTTAATTATAGATAAATAAATATTATTCACAATAAAAAGTTTTGACTCAATAATTATACATTGAATTCAGTTTTTTGGCACATTTTACACATATTTACTGTTAATCATACAAATTAGAAAAAATAGCGTTCATTAAAACAATGATAACAATTAAATGATCGATAGATTAACTATGAAAACAACATTTATAGTTTAAAAATAGTCAGTCAATGAAAAAAAATAATTAAAATAACAAAAAATTTGTATTATAGCCAGAACAATTAAGCGTTTGTTCAATAGATTTGTCACATAACTCTAGAGTAGTTTATAATAAAATAGTTGCCGAATATAATAGTATTCATAAAATTATATTAAATATAAATTATATAAAAAGCTCTAAAAACAAGACTTAAATGAGTGATAGTCAGGAATCACTTGATTGTTACCATAAAAAGTAATCAATTAATTGACAAAATGAAGACAAAAGGATAAATGCTTTGAATTATGGTAACAAAACATACAATAATTCTTACATAAGTTAAGAGTATTTGTTATATAAGCTTATGGTGTGGACAGTCATCTAATTACGATACAACTAATTGTTTAGTTGTTTGAAAAGTGACTTTTTTGTGTTGAATAGCAGTCATTGGTATTCAATTGGTTACAAATTCCTAATCATTCATTAAATTACATAAACAACCGGTAAAATGCTTTCAATTAATGTCTAAAATAATTATTAAAAATAACTCTTTTAGTCGTAATTATCATAAAAACACGACAAATAAAGACTAAACTCTTCGTCCACTAAAAAACAGGCGAAGAATTTTTGAGACCACTATTGAGTTGAACGAAAATATCGATACATGAGCTGAGAGTCCAGACATTGAGGAAGCGATACCTAAGCCAATGGATGTTCGCTGTCGTTGTAGACGTCTTTGGATTCATCATTACTGTTGACTTCATTGTCGGCGATCAGAAGATTGCGCTTCTCTTCGTCAGTGTTTTGTTGGAATTCATACAAAGGATTCGCGAAATTTGTACTCTTTTTGTGGTAAAAATGGACAAAATTTGTAAATTAAAATCAACATAAATATTGTTTCGTTTCAAACAAATCAACCGCTAATGAAATCTCATGAATACCTTATCGTTGACCTCCAGAGCGAACGTACGGCTCAAGGCATGGCTGGGACTCAAGTCATCATCGAAGTCGTCGCCACCGAACATAGGATTACTGATCTCAACGTTGGCGCCACTCTCTTGCATTCGCCGGTGAAGAAACGCTCGGTTACTGCAAACACAAATCAATTGAGACACCACTCAGACGTTGCCAACACTACTGAAGCTAACTATTCATACCTTTTACGGATTCTGAAGGTGAACACACCGATGAAAACAACCAAAAAGAGTATTAAAACAATGGCAACGGGTATCACAGCTATTAATATCCATTTTGTCGTTGTGTCCAAAGAGTACGATTCCCGGGAATCAAAGTCTGGAGTCTTGAGTACCAGATTCTCGCAGCGAAGGCCGTCGAAACCCAGAGGACAGCTATACGTGAGATACAGAGATAACCATTAATGGGATTATTCTTGCATTTAGTTATTGGTAATTAAAAAAATGCAAACAAAACGCGAACTAACAAACAGACGGGCAGTCTATCGGAATCATCCGATGGCATACAAGTGCCGTCATTCAAACAAAATGCATGGCAATCAATACTGTGCTCACATCGCGGGCCAACCCAACCCTTAATGCAACTGAAAGTTTCAAACAAACAAATATGACATAAAAATAACAACAAATCGATATAAATGTCAATAATTGTGAGACAAATAAGACAAATATGAAGAGTAAAGGTCTGGTAGACTACTACTCACTCGCACTTAGGACCCAATTCCCTGTTTTCGGAGACAATACAAGTGCCGCCGTGTAAGCAGAATGAGTTGCACACCGGACTGGTCTCGATCTCACACAGAGGTCCAGTCCATCCACTACTGCACTGACAATAAGGCTCTTTATCTCGCGAGAGACTACATGTGCCGCCATTACGACAGTCGACTTCGTCGCACGATTTGGCGATAAAGCGCTCGCAGAAGGCGCCCATAAAGTGAGGCCGACACAGACAGGTGTGGTGGCCGTGCTCTGACTTAGTGGGCATACATGTGCCGCCATTGCGACAGCCGCAAGTGTTCTGTTCGCAGCGCTTTCCCTGATAGCCCTCCGGACAGACGCAGACAGTCTTCTTGGCGTTGCGCTGACACGTCCCGCCGTTGAGACACGTCTCGTGACAGCTGTCCTGATCGCACCGCTTGCCGCTGAAGCCCGCATAGCACGAGCACTGCGGCACTCCTCCAGATATTGTACAATTGCCACCATTCCCGCAGTGGTTGTCGCACAACGACTCCGAGCATTTATCACCGGAAAAGCCTGTAATGAATGACACGTTCAGTGAAAATACTTTCATGGGTTGTGTTATGTGTTAAGGCATACCTAGCGGGCACTGACACCCGAATGACTGGTCTTCCCGTTTGAAACAGTGACCAGAATTCTCACACTTCAATGAATGACAGTTTTGGCACTTTTGACCAAAAAAGTCTGACTGACATTTGCATTGAGGAACTCCGTGTTGTATACTACATGTGCCGCCGTTCAGGCAAAAGTTGTCGCATATACGGGACGGCGTTTCGCACCGTTCGCCCACCCAATCGGGAGGGCATTCGCAGCGCAGCGGTGGGTGATTGGGGTTGTTGTTGTTGGACAAGAGGTCGGCATAACAGTGGCCTTTATTCTTGCAATAACCTGAACACTTGTACCGATCGCATACGGGGCCGTCGAAGCCCGGAGCGCACACACACTTTGGCTTATCATTAGTCTCGTAAATACAGGTGCCCTGATTGAGGCACTCGAGGTCGCACTTGTTCTGAGGCCGCACTTCTGCAATGGCTGTGCACACCACTGAAGAGCCGTCTTCGCCCACACGAGTCTCACTCATGGCATTACTGCACAGACACACGGCTTTGGCTGACGTCTGGGCCACACATAGGGCTCCCTCTCCGCAGTGCTTCGAACTACAGGGGCTCTGAATGGAGTGGTCCTGTTTGTTCTCCTGGACGATCACCACATCACTCGCTTTGTGAAGTCCGCGCACCAAATGAGTGATGTTTCCGGCGCCGAATTTGTTGATTCGGAAAATGGCGTTATTGTGGAAAGTGCTCACAAACAGGTTGTCCTCAAACGCCTCGATCTTATAGGGCTTGTCCTCAGACGAGTTGAATGTCTTCACGATATGTCTGTTCTTTCCGTTGATATCGATTGTCTCGATTATGGCTGCTTTCGGATCAGTCCAGTAAATACGGTCGGCCGCGTAGTCGATGGCCAGTCCTGTCGGCCAAACCAGACTCCTCTCCACCAGAGTTCGTCTCATCGTTCCGTCCAATCGGGCTCTGAATACCGGTGCAAAGTATGCCTTATTTATTAGTTTTACACTCCAATTAATCAACAGATTTAATGAACAGACCTTTCGATCTTAGCTTTTCGGCCCCAATCCGTCCAAAATATGTACCCATTCTTGGGGTCAACAATGATGTCGTGCGGCTGATCCAAGTCGTCGGTGATTAGCGTGCGCTGAATGGTGCCATAGATGTTGGAGATGGTGATAGTGGCGGCCCCGGCATCGATCCAATACAAGTTCTTCCCGATCCAGTCGACGGCTATTCCGCGCAATGACTTAAACTTCGACGCAATGTTCGTCGGCTGTGAAGACGTCTGCATTATGTCTCTCTTCCGACGACTCGACGTCTTATTACTGGTCTTGTCGTCAATCATCGGTGCGACGAAACTGTAGACACTGTTGTTGTGGAAAGATGTCCAAAAGAGTGTCACTTTGTCCGACTCGTACATCACGTCGAATGCGTCGATATGACTGGCCTTCGACACGTTGGACAGGATGTCGATCAACGCCTGCACTGAATGCTTGTATGGATTCACTTTCCGTAAGCCGTTCTCACTGGCGACCAACAAAATAGCCGGTTCTCCGAGTGCTACACATGTTGTCGTCGTATTACTGGTGAGCAATCGTGTGTATCCCGGAGCGCAGGCACAGGTATGGTTGCCTGACTTCTTGGTGATACAGAGCTGAGAACAGGTGCCGAAGCGACAGACACTGCGGTCACAGTTCTCCTCATCGCTATTGTCTCCGCACTCATCGATACCGTTGCAGACATTCACCGAATCGATGCACAGATTGTTAGTGCATTGGAACTGTTTGGCCGAACAGTGCTTGTGTTGGGCGCAGAACTCCTTGTCCTCATCGCTGTTGTCTCCGCACGAGTCCTTTCCGTCGCATAACTGGCCATCGATTCAACGATCAAATCAATTGTATTGCTTATGACATCGCATGACATCGCATGACATACCCTTTCATTGGAGATACAGATGTTGTTCTTACATCTGAACCGTCCCGGAGGACAGGCTATTGTCGAGCAACTGATCAGATCTTCATCCGAATGGTCTCCGCAATCGTCTTCTCCTGCAAATCGATTATAAATGTCAGACAAAAGCAATCAATGGTTAAACGATAGGACAGACCGTCGCAACGCCACAGAGCGCTAATGCATTGCTGGTTATGGCATAAGAATTCCGATGACATACAGGTGCGCCCACAATGCTTCTCATCCGATGAATCGGGACAGTCAGCATCGCCTGAAATACGAGTAATACATACATATATTAACCGGTAATACATTTACATTTTCTATGCATCATTAGAGTATTTACTGAACTATTCAATCAAAGTCTTATTACCGTATAATTCACAGTTAAAACTTAATATTTAAAGAATATTTATTTTTATGGAAGTTTAAAGCTACCTGGGTAATTGTAAATTTTAACTTTCATAATGTGCTCATAAGTGAGATATGACTGACTTGTATTCAATGTGAATTCAAATGCAAAGTCAGTGCAAAAGTGGACATACCGTCACATTTCCATTCATTGAGAATACAAAAGTTGCTGTCTTTGCAGTGAAATTCATTGGCACTGCAAGTGATGTTACAATTGGTTTCATCGCTCTTATCTGAAATGACACACATTTGGTCGTCATTCACATCACAAGTGTCATAAAACAGTGCATTACTGGACATACCCTCGCAATTATAGACACCGTTACATCTCCACAGTTGTCGAATACATCTGCCGTTCGCGCAGCGAAACTCGTCTTCGGAACAGTCTCTCGGAGTGCACCTCAACTCATCTGATCCATCGCCACAGTCATCCTCGAAGTCGCAGTGCCACCGGTCTGTACATCGCATCATATCATTAGTTATTTCACTTAAGACACTACTTCTACAGAATACTCACTGGGAATACACTTATTGTTATCGCAGTGGAAGTAATTATCACCACAAGTGGACGGCTTGTCTTTGCTGCACATCTGTTCGTCTTCATGTCCGCCACAATCGAAATCTCCGTCACATTTCCAGCTATTTATGCGTTCAATCATACAATTCATTTACTGAACTATAATCCAATCAATAGGAATGGTAGCAAACCTGGTGGGGATACATCTGCCGGTGTTGCACTTGAAGTAATTGTGAGCACAGGTACGAGTGGAACAGCTCGCGGGCTCATCGCTATTATCGCCGCAATCGTCGTCACCTTTTCATAAAAATTACAGACATTTAAAATAAACTCAATTTATGTAATGAAAGCTCGCATACCATCACAGGTCCACACCTGAGGTATACATCGATTGTTTGAACACTTGAATTGATTGTTTTGACACACTTTTTCGGCTATAAAACACATATCATTAATAAACAGTCCATTAAAACGTTTGTTTCGGTAATTCATAAAAGTTGTAAACAATTATCAGTAAAACGAGAAATAAAATCTCTTTATTTAAAATAATTTAATTAAAATAATTGTCTAATTGTCCACTACTTTCACGCTTTTGTCATAACTTACGACAGTTTTCTTCATCTTCTTTGAGCGGACAGTCTATGAGTCCATCGCATCGACTCGTTATACTAATACAATGGGCGCCAACAGTCCCGTTAGAGTCTGCCGTCCCATTAGCCGCGCACTTGAACTGACTCGGAAGGCATGTATACATGTCTACCGGCGACCAAACATTTGATAATTAATCTTAATATTCATATCAATATGAATGTTGTGATGATTACCGCATTGGCGTTCATCCGAGCCGTCGCCGCATTGAGTGATGGCATCGCAGATCTGGTTCGGAGGAATGCAATGACTGTTATTGCACTGAAACTGACCCGGACTACAGTTAAACGCCGGACAGTCCGATGGTTCGTCTATTATCACAAAATATAAATACAATTAAAACTATGAAACTATCATTTAATGCGATGACAACCCACCGGAACCGTCGCCGCAGTCATCCTGAGTGTCTGTTTTGGCAAACATTCAATAGATTGTTAAAATTAAACGATAATTAAGACAAATAGTCTATAATACTGACCGCATTGCCACCAAAACGGTATGCAATTGAATGTGGAGTTGCAGACAAACTGAGAGGTCGTGCAGTTGCTGTGACACGTCTTGTTGTCGGACTGGAGGACAAAGTTTTCGGGACACTCACAGACACTGCCGCCGTTGGGGGTCAGCAGACATAGGGTACTGCAGTTGCTATAATCGCACGGATTTCCATTAGGCAGCGGCTGTTGTCTGAAGGGGTGGTATACGTGTAAATCCATGGGTCTGTGGGCTGTTGTGGTGAGAGTGGAGACGTTATTGCAGTGATATTTATGACAATATTCTATTCCTTTGGTCTCCCAATCACTCCAATAGAGTGTGTTCTCGAAGACAGTCAGAGCGAAGATATGATGGACCAGATTGGATGTCTTGCGCGACACAATCACGTGTCGATTCCTGCCGTCCAGGTCTGTGACAGCGATATAGTCTTCGCGGGCGTCCGCGTAAAACAGGTCTCTATTGATGTAATCGATGGTCAGAGCATTAGGCCATCCGAGGCTCTCGTTGATCAGTATTGTAAAGTTCGAGCCGTCCATACCAGCCCTCCCTATATATGGCGTCTCTCCCCAATCAGTCCAATAGAGGTAACCCTCGAAAGGGTTGAGGACTATAGCGCGGGGCTCTTCGAGACCGTCTTTGATCAATACTTTACGGTATTTTCCGTCTAATTTCGACACTTCTATGCTGTCCTTCCCTTTGTCACACCAGTAAAGGTTCCGTGCGATCCAATCGACTGCAATGCCGTCCGGACTCTGAACGGTTGCCGAATGGAGTATCTGTTCGGCGCCGGTATACGACTCGTTGCCCGTAAAGGTGCCGCACAAGCGCTTTATAGAACTGCCCAAAGAGGTCACATCCGACCAGTAGATACAGCCCTCAGACCAATCGAAATCGAGGGCCACGGCGTTCGTGAGGTTGCGCACCAGGAGTTTATTGTCGTGACCTTTGGTACTGATCTGTCGGATGTAATAGCGGTTCGAGAAGATCAGAGTCGATGTTATATTGCTGTCGGCTTTGCATGTCGTGCCGTTGTCTACGGAATGGTAGTCCTTATCGCACGAACACACGTACGAGCCATAGGTGTTGCGACAGTGCTGACTACACGGCCTCCGAGTCTTACACTCGTCGACATCCCTGCAGATGCGGCCGCCATCCATGGGCTCGAAGCCATCAAAACAGCTGCACTTATAGCCGATGGGCATGTCTTCGCACTTCTGCGAGCACTGGATCTTCGACTCGCATTCATTGACATTGCATTTGGATTCGTCGGAATAGTCGCCGCAGTCGTCGCTCCCATTGCACAGTAGGTCCGCCTCAACGCACACACCGTTCTCGCACTCGAACTTCCCGTCCGTACACTTGGAGCCGCCCGTCATGTTGTGAACGCACAGTGTGTTTGACTCGTCCTCCCCGTCGTGACAATCGCTGATACCATTGCAGAGCCATGTCTTGGGAATACACTTATGATTCTTACACTCGAACTGATCCGCAGAACATTTCCGGAACGAACAGTTCTCGGGTTCGTCCGACTTATCGCCGCAGTCGTCATCGCCGTCGCAATAGAAGCTCTGAAGGATGCACTGGTAGTTCAGACACTGGAACTCATTGTGTTTGCAGATACTATGGGTGCAGCCCTGCTCCGGGTGCTCATCGCTCGCCTGAGTGTCGCCGCAATCGTTTTCACCTGAAGTTGTAAGTCAAATCAAATGTTAATTCACTAATGAATGCGTGGACACAACACACGCCATACCATCGCATATCCAAATGGCAGGAATACATTGACCCGTATTATTGCACCGAAACCAGTCGTGCGGACACTCTCTGGTCTTGCAGTCGATGGTCTCATCGCTGCCATCGGCGCAGTCCTGGTGCCCATCGCAGCGCCAAATACTTGGAATGCAATCCGTGTTATTGCAGCGGAACTGATCGGCCTGACAGCCATACGCGCAGTTCTCCTCATCCGAGCTAACCGTCCCATTCCTGTCGTCGCAGTCATTGTCTCGGTCGCAGACCCACGCCATGGGAATACATTGTGTTGTGTGACATTTGAACGAATTGGACGGACACGACGTCTCCAACGGTTTACTCTTACAGTTCTCTTCGTCAGAGTTATCCCAACAGTCGTTCTGTCCGTCGCATATCCAGTCGGGATGTATGCACGCCGTAGTGGACGGGCAGCTCACGAACTTCTGCTCCGGATCCCAGAACAGCGGGTGTTTGGAACAGTCGGGCTTCTCGGGACACCCCATCTCGTCCGACACGTCGCTGCAGTCGGGGTCGGAGTCGCACCGGAATTGCGAGCCAATACAGGGGCCGTCTTTGCACTTAAACTTATCCGGACCGCACTTACAGTCCCTCTCGTCGTCCGTGCAGTCGGTCTGTCCGTCGCAATGCTTCGACTCCGGTATACATCGGTTATTAGAGCACCGGAAGAACCCTTTGGGACACTCTCTGGTGGAACAGTAGTTGAGGTTCTCGTCCGAGTCGTCGGGACAGGCGGTCACACCATCGCAGGTCAACTCAAAGGGAATGCAAACACCGGTTCCGCACTCGAACTCCTTCTCCGAACAGTTGGAGTTCTTGACGACACAAGTCTTGCCATTCGGTGACAAAACTCTTCCGATAAAACAGTTGCAAACAATGGAACCGTTGAGCGATACGGAACAGACGTCTTCGCAGCCGCCGTTCAACGGGAGGCACGGGTTTAGAGTGCAGTCCTCTGTATCGTTGGCCACCGCTATGACACCCATCGGTCGGGGAATATTGCGCCGGAGTTTGACCACTTGAGAGCCCGTGAATTTGTCGCACCGGAGGACCGCGTGTTCGACCCAATCCGTCCAAAACAGATAGTTCTCGAGAACCGCCAAATCGAAGGGATGTTTAGGCGTTTCGGTCAGCAGGAGATACCGTTCCGTTCCGTCTAAATTGCATTTTTCGATTTTGTCGAGTCGTGCGTCAGACCAGTACAGCTTCTGGAGCTTGTGGTCAATGGTTATGGCGTTCGGCATCCGGATGTCGGTCGTGATGATGGCGTGCAGGTCGTAGCCACTCAAGTACGCCCTCTGAATACTGGGGCTCCGGTTGTTCCAATTGGTCCAATAGACACGTGAGGCGCACGAGTCCACAGCTATTCCTCGGGGCTTGTCTTCGACGCCCAGACGTATAATCTTCTCGATCTTCGCGCCGACAGTCCTTAAGTTGATTCTGGCGATGGAGGCGTCGCTATTACTCGTCCAATACAGCTCTCCATACATCTGGTCGTAAACTATGCCCTCAACTGATCCCTGTTTCTCAACCAGAAGTCTATGTCCGGTTCCGTTGAAGAAACTGCTGCTAATACTACCCCTCTGTATATCAGAATAGATGACCCGTTGGGACGAGTAGTCGAATGTGAGGCCAATCACGTTCCGCATGTGTTCGCGGTTCGTGAGGGTAGGGTAGGGGGCGTTCAGGTTCTGCTCGTCGTTCACGTGAATCGAGTCTATTTCAGTCACTTTGGAGTACATAATGAACGCCTCGTACGGCTCGCACGTCCTGTTATTCGCGGCCACCTTTCCGTGAGCGCAGGCGCACCGGTGCCCGAGTGTCGGCCCCCGGAACAGACACAGCTCCTGACAGCCGCCGTTATTCTTAGCGCACGTGTTGTTAGCGGTGGTCGGCCTCTCGTAGAACACCTTCACGTCTTTGATGTGGTCTCCCATATGGGTCTGCAGTGGCGTAACCGTCAGATTGGCGTTGTCTTTGTCGGCGCGCAGTATAGCCCCTCCCAAGTGGTTAGTGTCGGCCCAGTAGACGAACTGCTTGTATATCGTCAACGAAATCGGACTCATTATATGAGCGCCGCTTACGATCACTTCGCGGTCGGTTCCGTCGGATTTCATTCTTTCGATTTTGTAGAACGAGTCGATCCAATAGATGGTGTCTTCGAGTGCGTCCACAGCCAGGTCTATGATCTTCTCGGCCGTCGAGTTGTAGACAATCACGCGTTCAGTGCCGTCGAGGAGAGCCCTTTCGATGCGTGCGTTTGACTTAAGCGTGTTGTCGCTCCAGAACAGGAATCCCTGCACCGGATTCACTGCCAATGCGTTCGGTTTATCCATATTCCCCGACAGAATCACATACCGATAGCTGCCGTTGAGTCGCGAGACTTCGATGACGTCAAAGTCGGGATCAATCCAATAGATATTGTCGGCGATCCAGTCGACGGCGAACCCTTCGATGCGTTCGATGCCGTGGACTATATTCTGGTGACCCGTTGTGTCCCTTTTGATGCGAGTGATGGACCCGTCGTCGCTGTCCACCCAATAGATGAAACCCTCGCCGTAGACGTAATCGATGGTTGAGGCCATCAGTACTCTCGAGATCGGAGGCAGCATTGGGTCGCCGGTAGCGTTGGGTTCGGTGCCGATGGCTCTTATGCCCCAATTCCACGAATACATGAGGAACTCCTTGTGACCCAAACAGTTGGTCTCGTTCTTGAGGTCCACTCGGAAACTGATGGCACACTTGCAGACCCTCTGGTTCTGCGCCACCATCAGACACAAGTGGGAACAGTTGCCATTGTTTGCGCACAGGTTGGTTCCCGTCTGGAGTGCCCTGTCGTACACTTTGATGGCCACCACGTCTTCGGTTTGATTGCGGAAAACGGTGTCATTCTTGCCGTCCGTTTTGTCCATTATATGAATCGAGTTATCGATTTGTGTGGAAAAGAGCACAGAATTGCCGTAAATAGAGAGCGCCAACGGTTCCAATCCCTTCTCCGTGTGCTCTCCCGGGTTGTACAGCATATGGACGCGGAGGTCTTCACCCAACTCTATGTACTGAATGGTTGCGCTCACGATGTTTACCCAATAGAGCCGATTGGGAATGGATTCCAAGTCTAAGGCCAGACTCGACGGCTGATTCATATACATGTCGTCCGACTTCTGGACTAAAGTGCGAACCGCTGTGCCATCCATTGCCGCCTGTTTTATGACGGGATCCTTATATTTGTCGTCGTATTTGTCCGCATCTTTGTCTTTGTCTTTGTGTTCGTCGCTATCGCTGTCTTTCACACCAAAGTCCGACCAAATGATGAGTCCATTGGTGGGGTAGACGACCAGAGATCGCGGATTATTGAGCCCTTCCGTAATGATCTCCGAAATGAACTCTCCGTTCAGATTACAGACAAATATTTTGGCGCCGTTTGTGTCCTGACTCGTGACAAACAGATTATCGGCGATCCAGTCGACTGCGAATCCGTATGGGCTGGTGATCACGGTGTCAATTATGGTCTCCACTGGACTTCCAGTCAGTAGCGCTCTCTTCACTTCATTCAGCTGATTGTCGGCCCAATAGATCTGCTTCTGCGACGCCTTGAAGTCCATTTGCGACGCGAATATCACTTTCGGCAGATTTATGGGAGGAATGGTGTGATAGTAGGGCTGATCCAAGTCGACGCCACGGATCTCATTGGTTCGCGATATCAGGAGTACCTTCTCGTTGGGAACGCACGTCCTGTTGTCGGCGTCCAGTTTCATGATATGCGGACATTTGCATCGGTAGGTGTTGTTGGTGTTGATTAGACACAGATGGGAACAGTTGCCGTTATTGGTGGCACACAATGAGGTGATATTGTCGGTGGGCTGTCGCGACGGATGGAATATCTTGATGTCGAAGGGCTGAGTGACGGCCCTCTGAACCACTTTGATGTCAGTGCCGTTCCACTTGTTGGCGCGAATCACCGAATTGGTCCTCCAGTCCGTCCAATACACGTGATTCTCGTACAGAGAGATCGCGAACGGATGGGTCAGGAGTTCGTGTCCGCGTAGGACCTCGTGATAGCCCGACCCGTCGTATTTGACTGTATTGATGGAGTCGGAGCGGGCGTCGATCCAATAGATCCTGAGGGCGATGTAGTCGAGTACGAGACCGTTAGGCCAGGCGCCGTCACTCGACTCCACTCTATACACCACTTTCCTGTCCTCTCCCGCCATCGACGCCGACTCTATTCGCGGAGACTCTGAGTCCCAGTCCGTCCAAAACAGCACTCCGTGGCGACAGTCTAGCGCTATAGCCCTGGGGCTCACCATTTGTCCGGCAATGAGAGTGCGCCGGTAGCTGCCATTCAGTTTGGCGACCTCTATCTGATCCAAATTGCTTTCAACCCAATAGATGTTGCCTCCAATCCAGTCGACCGCCAGTCCCTCAGCGGTGGCCAAACCTATCTGAACGATGGGTTCGATGTTTGTGAGCGACCCGTGGATTAGGAATCCTCTGTAGATCTTGTCGTCCATAACGTCGGTCCAGAAAATCATATTCTCTTTGTCCGAGTGGTAGAAGTCGAGGGCAATGGTGTTCTTGAGGCCCGACAGATCCGTCCCGTTCACGCAATCGATATTATTGTCGCAAAAGCGCGATATATGCAGACATACGGTGCGGTTGTCTTTAATGGACACACAGTTCCTGTCGGGAGGTATACAACAGTCGTCTTCATCCGAGTTGTCTTCGCAGTCGAAATGTGTGTCACATTTGCGCTGAAGAGGAATACAATGGCCGCTCGCGCGGCACCGGAACTCATCCGTCCGGCACTCGTGAGCCGTGGCGTTGGCGCACGTCTTCGTCGTCTCGTCTGATCCGTCATAACAGTCGCGCTTTCCGTCGCAGACGAACGTCTTGTGGACACAATCGCCGGAACGGCACTGGAATTCGTTGTGATGGCAGCCGATGGCCGAGGGTTTGGTGCGATTGAAGGTGTGTTGGAAGCAGTTCTCCTCATCGGCGCCGTCACTGCAATCCCAGACACCGTTGCACTTATAGCTGGTGTCCAAACACTTGCGTCCGGATTCGCAACTGAATTGTGTGGAAGAGTTGCAGAAGAGATGGCAATCATATTCATCGGATCGGTCGCCGCAGTCGTCTTCGCCATCGCAGACGTACTCCAGAGGAACGCAGCGATGGTTTTTGCAGACAAACTCCAACGCCTGACACTCCGGGCCAACACATCCTATGCGGTGATAGCAGTGGACAACAGGTTAGTGACAATCGCTGACAATGACAGCGCCGAAGACATGACATACCGACGCATTGGGTTTGGTTGAGCGGGTCGTCCGCCACTTCGCCTTCACATCGAGCGACCGGTGCTCTACCGATGAGGAGGACAGTCAGCCAACACCACAACAAGACTGGTGTCACTGTGTGTGGCATAATGTGGTGGAAGAGCTGGTGGACAGTCGGTGTCCGGTGGCAGTCACTGGCGATGGCGGTGACCGTCTTGTGGGGCGACAACTGGTCTGATGGGACGGGAGGTCTTCACAGTCATCCTCTCCTCCATTCCTATTGTTTATGATATTTGAGACCAAATGAGTAGTTAGTCCTCAACACCACAGATGGGTCTCCACTCACACCACTAACACATCCAACACTTCCCGCGAAACCATTGCTTTTCACCACTTTTTCCCATTTCTATGTGAATTGAATGAATATTTTGTGACTTTATTTCAATCATTAATTTATCCATTGATTGGACTTTCAATAAAACAAAAGTATTTTTTTTGTTTTATATTCAAAGATGCAAATAATTTTTATGCTCTCTCTCTCTCTCCCTCCCTCCCTCTCTCTCTCTCTCTCTCTCTCATTTGAATTAATGAAAATTTCTAATGAATTAACTTTTAATCTCAAAAAAAATTAATCATAAAATAATTGCAAAAATATTACAAACAATTAACACTGAAAAAAACCAAACCATTAGTTCATCTCCAGAAACAAATGAAGTGATAAAACAGATAATCATTTTTCACTCTCTATTATAGATAATAGCATTTGTTTGGAAAATAATTGAAAAACTTTTCCGATTTATGAAAAGCGAAAAATCAATTTGATTTGCGATTGAATCGATAAAATAGACGATAAATTCAATTTATTTTTCGTCTAAAAAACTTCACAACTTTTTTATCCAGTCATACATTGCCGTCAAAAATGAAAGGATTTCTCTAATTATTAGTCTAAAAGTCTTAAATAGTTTTGTAAAAGTTTTTAATTTCTTCATCTCTTTTGTTACCTTTTTTAAAGACATTTTGACTGTTTTTTGGAGACAATGTGTATATTCACTGATTATATGTATGTGTATTGAGGACCTAATGGAACAAATGAGTGGATTTGCAATAATCTGTAGATATTTTTTGCAGTGAAGACATGAAAAGCTTTCGGCGAAACTTTAATTGAAGACAATTTGAATGCTATTATCGGCGAACCATACCATTGAAAGCTTAGGCAACGCTTCACCGAAACCAATGCCTAAACTCTCATTTCAGTTCAATGACTG